TGTAGCCGATAGGGAGAGGGGTGTACTTGGGGACGAGAGCGGCAAGATGAGCTGGGGACGAGCGGCCATGGGCATGTTTAAGTAGGGAGGAATCCGACTCGAACCGATCTCCGCGCTGAAGCTTGCTCACCAGCAGGGGTTCCGATATTTTGTGTCATAGCTCGACGGGAGGGCGACGAAAGTGTCCCTAGCAGCGGCCTCGATTTCCGGGTAGTTCGGCAAGTGCGTATGCGCCTTCCAAATGTCGTTCACGTGGTAGTTCGGCACCTTCACCTGTGTTTCAACATGGCGTTCATGGCGAATTCATGGCTTCGCCGGTCTTCAGGAAGAAGCAACGCAACATACAGACCTGAGGTGCAAGGTAGCTCGACGGATTGACGTTCACGCCATCTGAGAACACGTTTTGAAGGTGCAAGCTTAGGAAGACGCAGAGAGTTACAATCGTTGTACGCAGTTTACTGTTCATTTTGCTTGCTTCTACGGTCACCCCTGCCTTAACTCCTAGGCTGATTCAGAAGTTCTCAAAGGCATCATACGTATATGCCATGCTAAAGAGAGGAGATCGATGTGAAGGTGAAACCAGTCGCAAACCGCGTTCAAGTTCGAACATCAAAGAAGTCAGCCAAAGCACAAGCTATTGCGCAGGTCAGTAAAAGATCTATCCAGCTGCATAATAACAGTTCGCCATATTCAAGGACTGTGGAAAATAATCAGGTAGCTGTTCACGTACGGCTGTTCCGTAGTGAGAGTGGGAGAGACGAATGCAGATGACCGTCATGTGTACCCTGCCTATATCACCGCGTCTGCGCTGGGATCTCACGTTACAAAATGTCGATGCAGATGGTACCTCAATCAGCAGTTATCGCCTCACGTCAAAGGTTCCAGTTGGACTACAACTCGAGGACTCATGCTTACGGGTTTAATGCGGAGTCGTCGTGTTAAGCACGCTGTTTTTCTAGCGCTTACTGTCCAGCCAGCCCTGGGGCGAGCATCAAACTAATTGTCAGCACGTATAGCAACCCAAGCACAAGCGCCCATGCCGTAAAACCAGCTGTCGTATGTGTCTCCTGCATCCAGCGTACGGCACCCCAACAAGCCGAGCGATCGGGCACAATCTTTAGGGCCGCATACATGATCATCCAAACCAACGAATTCCCACGATATTCCAGTCGAAAAGGGCAGATGCTTATCATGCGTCTGTTATGCATCAGCATGCAGCAAAACAACCATGGCCTTTCGTTGCGAAATAGGAACGAACTT